GGTTATTGGACAGGACACGTAGTGTCCTCAGGTTATTGGACAGGACATCAAACAGGGCAGGTGGTGATGATGATGATGAAGATGTGTGTAATCTCACACCACCTGCTCAGGTGCTTGCTGTCCAACAGGAAATGGGTGCAGCTCCATTATCAGCTGGTGTTTGAAGTTGGACCGGATCAGAACGTGTCTCCGTGGCCTTCGGCTAATCTTTGTTTACGTTGAAGTCCAGCAGCTTCGGCTGGAATTACCCAGAACCCATAAAACACTCGGCGTTAATTAAACCCGGTTGTTCGTCACAGGAAGCAGCGATCACCGAGTCCACGAGGTCCTCAGAGGGACGTCCTTTAACTAAAGAAGAACCGTCATGAACCTGAGAGGTTCTGATGATGATGATGAGTTTCAGCTGTCCAACAGGACCGGATCAGAGCGGGTCAGGACTGCAGAAGGGCCAGTCTAGAACCCAGCCCCCCTTCTGCATCAGTTTTGGGAATGACAAAGACCTCCCAAAATCCCTGGTCCATGCGGTTCTGTTGGCTCTGTGGGTCCATGCGGTTCTGTTGGCTCTGTGGGTCCATGCGGTTCTGTCTGAGGGATTGGTCCGGCTCTGACTGGACCCCTGAAATTCATCCAGAGTCCTTGGACGGTTCCATGATGTTCTGCTCTGTGGAAGAACCTGGAAGTCCAATCGATCTTTGGTTTCTAGTCCAGAACTGTGATTTTAAGGCGGGTCAGAACCTGAAACGTTTTTCTCAGAATGAAGACCCTGGTTCTGGTTCTGGATCAAAACACTGAACCTGTCCCCGAGTTTCACCTCCTTTAAGGTTTTTATTTTTAAACGTTTCAAACAAACGACCAAAACATTTTACAAACAAACAAACAACAATAATCTACAAACAACAATTTAATCATTTTGTTTACAGCGGAACAAACGAGTCGTTTTAATTTGTTACGTTTAAAAACAACAAAGTGGTTCAGAACAAACAATAAAATAAATTCAGTAAAATCACAAAAAAACATTAAAGATCTGAAGGAACCAAATTAATGAAGAGCCCAGAGTCCGGGGGGGGGGGGGTGTCCAGAGTCGGGGGGTCCCTCGGCACCACCCGGCTGGAGGACCTATGAGGTCTTAGAAGGTTCTAAAGGTGAAGAAGTTCAGTTTCACAGTGGAACCGTGTGAACCTGCTCAGACTGGACCGGTGTGGTCCCGTCCTCTGCTAGAACTCAGCAGAGTTCTGGACGGACTGCAGGTGATGGAGAACCAGAGGCCGGCGTATACGGAGATGTCCAACCATCCATCTAGAGGTGATGGAGGCGTTAGGAGGAAGGAGAGGTTCTGATCATTTGACGTGACTGATAAAAACTGGTTTGGACAGCTGAGGACAGCTGAGGACACGTGTCTTAATCTAAAGAACATCTAAGAACACTGAGGTTCCTGAGAGGAGCAGGACGGCGGAGGACCTCCATGAGAGATCTGAAGATCTTTGGGTTCTGCTTTTCTTTACTCTTTACACAACGCTCCGTTCGGTCCGGTCCTTTAATCTCTGAGCGTCTTTTCAGAACCTCGTCCTCTTCAGGACGTCTCTGAAGTTCATGTGGATGAAGGTGTGAGGTTTGCTGACAAAAGCAGAATCAATGAACACTCGAAGCTCATATCTGGACCTGATCAGAACCTTCAGGGAGCACCGTCTGCTTCCTGGCTCTCACAGCTGGGGGGAGTTGGTGTTGCGGACGGTGAGAAGCCCCCCCACACCTCAGGATGTACATCTTGGCCACGATCCTCCTGAAGCAGCGGTTCAGCATGCTCCGCACCGCCGCCGACGACAGGTAGAAGATGAACGGGTCCAGGCAGGCGTTGAGGGTGCTGGACAGCAGCGCCAGGTTCCTCCAGCCCTGGTCCTCCATGTTGATGAAGCCCACCACGTGGGAGGCGTTGTACGGCCCGAAGCAGACCGTGAACACGATCAGCGTCCCGAGCGCCAGGCCGATGCAGCGCAACCTCCGCCGCCGGCTGATGTTGGGAAGGCGGGAGAGGATGAGGATGAAGTTGACGTAGCAGAAGCAGCTGATGATGAAGGGGACGCAGAAGAGCACGAGGAAGAGCTCCAGGCGAATCGGCAGCAGTATTTTGAGCTCCTCATCGGAGAACTTCAGGTAGCAACGGAGCGGCGGGGCGGGGCTGCTGCCGTTGCTGCCGTAGGTGTGGGAACCTTCGGTCCACTGGTAGTACGGCAGGATGTAGACGAAGGACAGGTTGGAGGAGGTCACCAGCCAGAAGGCCACGCAGGCCCAGACAGCGTAGCGAGGCCGGCGGCACAAAGAGTACCTGAGGGGGAAGGCCACGCCCAGGTAGCGCTCCACACTGACGGCGGTCAGCAGCAGGGTGCTGTTGTAGATGGTGACGTAGAACAGGAAGCTGGTCAGCGGGCACAGCGAGTACGGCAGCAGCCAGTTCATGTTGTCGTACGCCTCCTTCATCTTGAACGGCAGGAAGGCCAAGAAGATCAGGTCGGAGACCGTGAGGTTGAGCAGGAGCACGTCGATCGGCGCCGCCTTGCGCCGCACCTTCTGGCAGAACGTGATGAAGGACAGGATGTTGGCGGGGACCCCCATCAGGAAGGTCAGGATGTAGACGGCGAGCAGCAGGCGGCTGTAAAACATGGCTGCCACTCAGACGGGACGCTGTCAGAGATGCTGCATGAGACCAAAACCAACACAAAGGTCCTTAAGTTCAGAGCTCGAGTTTCTACAGGTTCAACTGCAACGCTACAACTCTGCCGTTCATAAAACCATCAGGACTCCACAGCAGACGCCACACGGACGCAGAAAACACGTTTCACGATTTAGTTGATTGAGGACAAGATTAAAAGTTCATCCCGATTTTCATTGATTTTATTCTCCGATTGTTTCTCCATCATTCTCACCATCGACGTCCATTTTTCTTCTTGTTCTTTTCCAACGACTCATGAATCAAAACATTCGGCTCATTCAGGACATTCCTGCTGGGACTTCTGGCTTTTGTGTAATTTTTACTTTTTGAAACATTTAGCTTTGTCTGCCATGTTTTTCTCAGAGCCCGATATATTGGTAGGGACGATATTTTAGGACGATATTTTATGACAATATTTTAGGACGATATTTTAGGACAATATTTTAGGACAATATTTTAGGACGATATTTTAGGACAATATTTTAGGACGATATTTTATGACAATATTTTAGGACGATATTTTAGGACAATATTTTAGGACGATATTTTAGAATGATATTTTATGACAATATTTTAGAACGATATTTTAGAATGATATTTTAGGACGATCTTTTAGGACGATCTTTTAGGACGATATGGGCGTTTGGGGACTTATCGTATCAGTGATAACGATCCCATTATGTGCCAATATAAACACTGGGAACAAGCCGTGTCCTTACGTGCACAAGCCGTGATTGTACAATGTATCCAGCAGAGGGCGCATGTGGACAACTTTCAACTACTGTTGCCTCATAGCATGCTAACATTTAGCTAGCCTAGCATAGGCTGTAAAACTTTAGAACAATAAATCAACCGTAGAGGTAAAATATATATCAGTGTTTGTAACGTTTGTCTGAAACTTCTTGTGAATAAAACTAAACTCGGCTGCGATCAACACCAGTCCGACCTTCACCGTACGTGACGGTTTAACAAGGAACAGGAAGAACGTTTCTTTGTTTCATTTATATTTTCACACACTTGATCACTTTATGGAGGAGAGAAAATGTGAACGCACCTTAGGGAAACCGTTCCAAGACTTCAAGAGGTAAACTGGTTTAAAAGTAGCTGTTTATTATTATTATTATTGTTATTATTATTTACAAAGCTCAGAACATCTATCGGTTATTGTATTAACCTTCACCTCCCAGTATAACCTTCACCTCCCAGTATAACCTTCACCTCCCAGTATAACCTTTTAACCTAACCTAGTTTTCCTCCTTGAAGATGAAAGGAGCTCTCCGCCTCTTTCAAACCCTTTAGCTGTTTAAAATGTTTACTGACCATTTTAGCTGTTGTTCTGCTTCAGCTCATTTCAGCTTTTTCTGCTTTCCAAGTTACGTTTGAGTTTTTTCTTTTACATTTTCTGCTTTTTTTTGTGCTTCTTCATTTCTCTACCCTTTCTGCTTCTTTCTGCAAATTGAAGCTTTTCAGGTATTTTTTGTTGCTAATTGCAACTTGATTTGCTCATTTCTGCTACATTTAGCTTTTACTTCACGTTTCAGCTGTTTTCTGCTACATTTAGCTTTTACTTCACGTTTCAGCTGTTTTCTGCTACATTTAGCTTTTACTTCAAGTTTCAGCTGTTTTCTGCTACATTAGCTTTAGTTTTCCTGCTTTTAGCAAATATCAGCTGTTGAAGTTCAGCTGTCGGTAACATGTTTCAGCTGATTTCAGCTCCTTCAGCAAGCGTTCATCCTGCTCTCCTCACCTGGACGTATCAACAACACAAACATTCGGCTCAGTGCTCGTTCATCATGAATCCTGTTTTTGTCTCACGATGAAACCGTTTTTAAATCATTTGCTTCTTCACAGTTTGAATCTTTGGAAAGAGCTGCAGATTTGTTCAGGTTTATTCTATAACAAGTTAAAAAGCAGATTAATTAATAAAAGAATGGTCTCGGTGAGACGGGGTCACCTGTCAGGGACGGACCTCCAGGGTCTCCATGGTGGCTCCGCTCGGCTCCTGGACCCGGACTGTTGGACCAGAACTCATCCACAGACTTATTACTCTCCCACCGCGGAAATTTAATCAACTCCAGGACGTAATTTGTTCTCTAAACACCGTCTCCCAGCAACCCTCAGGGGACGGGTGTGACGCAGGACGTCCTCGCACCGGAGGAGGACTCACCGTCCAGCTGTGAGGGACAGGACAGTGTCTCTGTCCCCCGACTGAGGGGTCCTGCTCTGGTCTATAGTTTGGTTGATGCTTTGTGAGTTTGTGTTTTACAGGGTCTGGATGTTTGGACTCACTGAGTTTATATTTTATTACTATACATTATTAAAAATTATGTTTTATTGATTATTATATTATACGTTATAAATTGTTTTATTTATATATTATTACATTATTTGTTATAAATTATGTTATACCATATATTCATTCAAACTTTATTTCTACAGGTGAGTCTCACTGAGCCTCAGGGACTCATTTACAAGAGACACCTGGTTTAACAAACAGTGACGACAACAGAGGACAACAAAGACAACAGTGGATAACAAAGACAACAGAGGACAACAAAGGACAACAAAGACAACCGAGGACAACAAAGACAACTGAGGACAACAAAGACAACAGAGGACAACAAAGACAACAGTGGACAACAAAGACAACAGAGGACAACAGAGACAACAGAGGACAACAGAGAACAACAAAGACAACAGAGGACAACAAACACAACAGAGGACAACAAAGACAACAGAGGACAACAAAGACAACAGAG